TACGCTCGTATCCAGCGCTCGGCTGACGTTCGTACATCTATTGACGCTATACGTGAGCCGCATATATCGGCGTCCGCGCGCCCGCGGTAATGACTCCTCCATATATACGCTCTCTCTCTCTCTCCTCCCCCCCCCTCGTCCCGCCGTGTCTCCACTCTCCACCGCTCTATCTCGTTGCGAATTGTTCATCGAGACACTTACATTGAAGACGACGTCGTACGAACCGAATGAAAGATTCATCAGAGTGCGCACGCGCGCTCGGTGTAGCATCGCATACCCTCCCTCCCGTGTCAATTGCCCCCCTTTCTACATCGCGCATGGTTAATGAAGATCAGGTCCCCTCGCGCCTGGGCGTAAGGCGTTCTGCCAAACACGCCCATGCTCATGCGCAATGTAGAGGGGGACTTGTGTCACGGGGGGATGTATACGACGCTACGGCAGGTTGATGTGACGGGGGTGCTAAGCGGACGTCAAGCAAATTAACGTCGTTCGAGATGTGCATTAGGCGCAGAAGTTAGCACCCCCGTAAAACCGCCGTCGAATGACGTCACGCGCGTTAAAAACATTCGTGATTAGTCGAGCCGGTACTTTGAGTGGCTCTGTTAAGCGCGTGTGTCGCATGCGACGAGCCGAGGCTCTTTGTTCAGGTTAATCGTCGCGCTGCCATGCGACATAGAAGTCATTCGCGTGTCGAATAGTGATATACGTGGTGTGAACGCATTAACCCAAACATATTAGATGTAGATGTAGATGTGGATGTGGATGTGGACGTAGGTGTATGTGTATTTGTAGATGTAGATGAAAATGTAGACGTAAACGTAGACGTAAACGTAGACGTAGACGTAGACGTAGACGTAGACGTAGACGTACAGACGTGGACATATACATATACATATACATATACATCCTACATATACATTATACATATACATATACATACTACATATACATTATACATATACATATACATCCTACACATACACCAACATGATCCTGAAATCATCCGATATAATCGCGCCAAACCGAAAAAATAACTCGACGCTAGCCGGCACCACATCCGACGTTGTGTCCACTAAATCACGTGGTCGTCAGATGCGCCAATCGGCTTCACCGTGTATCCAACCCGAGCGCGCAGCCATGTCTGTGTTAGATAGGCTTCATGTACAGTCGGGCGCGCATCGCTGTTCACTGCGATCATACAAGCTCTCTCTCTCTCTCTCTCTTGCATGTCGATATACCTGAATAGAACGAATATTCCCCGTACGTCTATCTATACGGCGGCTGCTGCGTCTCACGTCAAAATGCTCGGTAGAAATCGCTGGCAGACGTCCAAAAGTGTGCGCGCATTCTGTTGACGCTCACCGTAGCTCTATCCGTTTAGCTCCTTGGCTCCCGCTACAGGGCTATACGACCCCACAGTTGACGCTCACCGTAGCTAGCGTAGCTCTACCCGTGTAGCTCTTTCGCTCCCGCTATATAAGGTTATATGTCCTACAGTTTACGCTCACCGTAGCTCTATCCGTGTAACCCCTTCGCTCCCGCTAGTCTAAGAGCGCTATACCGTGATAAGGAAGCGGCAGTGAATCTGTGCAATATATGCAATAAGAAACACGATAGCCGGCAACATAAACGTCCTTTATCCGCTCAGTCTCAAATCAAACTCAGCTTACCGTAATTTTGACAGATTGGGTCGTTGTTGTAGAGGTGTAATGCAAACGAACTGAAGAAAGGCGGGCATGAATAAAACGGCCTGATTTAAATAGCGGCACCAGTTAGCCTACTATATTGATACATATTATATTATCTCAACAATGTAATAGGATAAAATGCCCGTAGTCCCTTCGGTATATTCTCGGTGGATAATGTTACATTCGTAGGGGATGAATTTTTGGTAATATCTACGCCAGACCAGTAGTCCGGCAGATTAAATTATTTAAAAGACCAATAACTGATTTTATGGAAAGAAAGTGCAGGTTATGCCTCAAGCAACATCGAGGAATACTCAAATGCATGTGACTTTTCATATCAATATGTCGTTTTCTATCGGATTTACCATATTACTAGACATACCATATACAGCCCTCGCTCCGGGCGATGCTTCAATTGTTATACGACAGAGACTGATTCTATGAGAGTCGAAACCATTTCTTGGCAGAGTAAACATCATTTTAAATGTTTGTAATTGTTGCTTTTTTTTAGAATTGCAAATACGAAATTACTAAGAAAGTGATCCTTTATCAAGACACTAAGAACATGGCGTATGATAGATCGGTACAGCTCACAGCGCAAGTAAAATTTCCCTTTAACCCACCCAAATAATTTTTTATTTTTACCCCATAGCAGGTGGGTGAGGATAAATTTTACATATACAACTCCCCCCCCCCACACACACACACACGCGCGCGCGCGTGCATGAACGCACGCACACTCACTCACATTTATTTATTTATTTATTTATATATTCATTTATTTATTTATTTAGTTAGTTAGTTAGTTAGTTATCTTATATTCATTTATTCAGTTACCTTTATATATATTTACATCACCGATCGCCCTACGCACGATGGAGAAGATAACAAAACATCAGATATCGAGCAGCGCACAGGAACGCAGTCTACACACATCATGACGTGGGTGTATTAGCTTGCTCGCTCATCGCCGTATACTCACGTCAGCGTGCAATCTCCGCCGCACGCTCGTTAACGCACGCTAGCGACATAAGCGGCATCGCCATCGTCGCCGTCGTCACCTCCGATCAGCTCAGCCGACGACAGATTACATCAGCGACGGCCGACGGCGCGGCCTTGCGTCGGCATTTGTTAGCCGACGAAATTTACAATCAGTGAGTACGATGGAATTTGGCAGCTGGCGATAGCGGGGAAAAACCCACCATATGCTCGTGACTAACCCGAGGTTGCTCGGTACAAAGTGACGTTAGCTTCTGCTGCTGGTTAAGAACTACGACTCCCGTAGCGCGGCAGCAGATCCCGCTGCGACTGTGTGGGTTTACCCCGCGCGCGCGACAGGAACTTGATTTTAACTTGATGGAATGAGAGAGATCGCACGCAGACGTGTATGCGCACCTGTGTTGCGGGGGTTGATCAGTGGAAGGAACGTGTGTTGCGTAGGTTGGGCGATGGAAGGAACTTGTGTTGCGTCGGTTGGTTGATGGAAGGTACTTATGTTGCGTGGGTTGGTCGGTAGAGGGAACCCGTGTTGCGTGGGATGGCCGCTGGAGGGAACCTATGTTGCGTAGGTGCCGCGCTGTCGGCCAGGCGTCGCCACTAGCAGACGTAGCTCAAGTTAAGCTGCCTTCAGTCGCACTCGAAACGCTAATGCACGATAAAACAGGCGCCGACGTCGCAGCGGCCGGATTTGAAGTGGACGGCTTTACGAAATACTGCGCCGCAACGAAATTAGTAACTAGTCACACAGAGCGTTTATTACGTGTAGCGCAAGTTGTCATAGCCAGCTGACAACGCGAATGGAGGCGCTGTCTGACGAATAGGCCCTCGATTCTAAGGAGAAGTCCCGTCCGTCTGACTTTAACGGCTTAGTGACGGAGACGAGTCCCCGTGAAAGCGACTCAATCAAATCCATACGAACATTTCGCATCGTTGTTTTGAATTCGTGAAAGATACTTCAGTGAAGTGAAATTATGAGGGGTTATGATACGGGGGTACTTGTTTGTGTAAAATCGCAAAATAAAGGGAAAGCAGACAGGCATTATGGTTTTGTTATATAACAGCCTACATGAGTGGTTTGTCAACACAACTTCATACCGAACTTACAGAGTATATAGTCATTATATATTTCACATAACAATTTCCGTCACTTATTGAGCCCCTTCTTCGTGAAAATTCGGCTAGTTTTGAAATACTAAACCCACATCAGTTGTTAGTCACTGCATTATTGCTACCTCGAATCTATAGGGAGTCCGGCCCGATGCCGTAAAACAATTTACGAAACATTATTCTATAAATTTCATATCACCGTAGGTTATCTGCTGGATAATAGTATAGTTATCTGTAGCACTGTTCGTGCACTACCTTATCAATTGTTCTTCGACTGAACTAGTCTGTCTTAATGTTCATCACTAATAGCGCCCTCCCTCCCTCCCCCTCCCTCCCTCCCTCCCTCCCTCCCTCCATCCCTCCCTCCCTCCTTTCCTTCCTCCCTCCCTCCCTCCCTCCCCTCTCTCCCTCCCTCCCTCCCTCCCTCCCTCCCTCCCTCCCTC